GAAATTTCGTGGCGAATAATCTTTACGATGCACTTGTATAGAAGGGTAGTATCCCATATTTTTTATTCTAATCGCGAGACATAAACAAACGTTTCATATGCTTGATAATTATTGCTTATGTCTGTAATCGGAACAATCGATAACCAATGGCGACATTACATCGTTATGTAATGTTGCAATTATCTTTAGCCGCGTTTCGAGGGTATCTTGTCTTTGAATGGATGTGACAGTGTTTACGAAAAGGAAATCAGGCGATCGACTACGTGTGTAAAGACGAATACCTTAACCAAATTCCTGCCGATAGAGAGAGGATACCGTTTGCTTAAATTCTAAGACGGTTGGAACTAAGGCTATTCAAGGGGCGCATTGCCGAGGTACCGCATAATTCATATCTAAGTAATACGTCTTACTAGGTAGCATGGCCCCGAACTAACGTACTCTGTCGTAACCCCCCGCTTTACGTAGCCGCTCACCCCCGCTCCTACTCTACGTTACAGCCGACCCTCGCCACGACAGCGAGATATACCCCTAATGGCAGTCTATCACATTAGCCGCAAGACGGCTTGAGAGGCTGGCTACCATAACTAGATTTGCCTTGCACGTACGGCGCATCAACCGACGATTTACCATGTATCGCATAGTTGGTCGTAGCTATTAACTGGCATAAGCTCCGACTTAGCTTATGTCGACAACGTGACTGTGCTTATGCACCGGCCCAAGGAAGGATAAATCACGCGGCGAATCCGAGATAAGCAGAAGGAAAGCCACAGATCTCTTACACTGATTCAATTTTTTACTTACAATGTTTAAAATTGCTATGCGTCATGAATTATTCTAAATTAGTGAGAATTACGTGACTATTATCGTAAATTGTCGTGATAACTACCATAAATTGCTTGTTAAATATTTTGTTATACTTTTATGCAGAAATTAATTTCGGTATAATTTTTCGAGACATTAAAAAATATATTTTTTAACGATGAAAATTGGCAGCTTCTATATTTCTTTTTATATGTACGAAAATTATATATTACGAATATATACGCTGCAAATATATACCGGGGTGTCACATAATAATGTTTATGTTAAAAATTGTTTTAATTTACGCGCAAAGATTTATATTATTTTAAATATAGTTTGTATATATATATTTTATCAATACGTAAAACCGACGAGGCAACTGTACCTATAAATCACGTTCGTCACGTAGAGCGTGAAAATTTTTTTGGTCGCCGCCAATGGTTTCCGCGGAGAAAAGAACATCGGCGTCGCGGTACGGCGAGAAAAATCGCTAATTGGTACACGGAAAATATAAACAAAACTGCCGTGCGAATACCGATGATTTACTGCAAGGTTTGATTGAATTCATTCGACTCTGTTTACCCGCTTGCTGCTCGTACAACTCTCACCCTCCGTCAGCCTCCGATGTTTAGCCTTTTTTTTCATTTATATCGTTGATTTTTTTTCTCACTCGCTCGTTCATCCGTTCCGACGTAGCAAAGTTGCTCGTTGTAAAACTGGGAACAGCGAACGATACGAATGCTTCCTGCTACAACCCGTCACCCTCCCCCGTTGCAGCCCCCAACCTTCACTTCGCCGCCTACTGCTTCATTTTATTCTATTTGATCCGAGGGAATGGAAAGAGGTATGCGAGCTCCGAAGGTATGATTTTGCAATCGAATCGCCTCTGTATATTTTCCTTCGTGTCAATTCGTTAACGAACCCGAACAACCGGAAGACTTCAAATATGCTACCGTAAAAATGACTTTAAATTATAACAATGTTGATATATTAAAACAAAATAAAAAATAATTTTTTTCTCTGAATAAATAACACATCAAATTATATATAACTTTAAATTACTAATCATATATCTAATTATACAAAATATATTTTTAGCTACTGACACGTGGATGGAACGGGACGTTAATAACATTATTGATAAAATTTATGATATATAAGTATGATATAATTTATATAGCGTTAATCTAAATTTAAAAAATAAAATCTTATTTTTCTCATATGACTATTGCAATTAATGATTGCTGTAATAAATAAAATAAATTGTTTCATTAAAATATATTGGAAGAATATATTTGTATATGTACGTGTGTTTGTGTATGTGTAAATTATCAAAGATTTATATGGGCAAAAAATATTTTACAACTAATATTTGGAAGGTAAAAGGCATATAACTTGTACTAATATTTCAATAACGTAAAGTATATCTATCGGATGTTTGAATGGCGATTCGGAATAAATTTTTCCGAGGTTGACGCGAGCTCGCTAAGGTTGCCAACGGAAGAGAAAAATCTAATAGACTATCGGAATCGAATTTGATCCCCTGTAAGAAACTAGCCCTTCTTGCACGCGTTCGCGTTACAACACCATCGATACTGCCGCCCCATCGAACTCGGAATGAAATCCAGTTCGCATTTGAATCAGTCGATAACGCAATCCATTAGCCCCTAACAGCCAATACTTCGAGGACGCGCGGAAGGAAACGACCTCGTGTAAGGGAAAAAGAAAGAGGAATAAAGTGATACGGCAGCGGCGCGACGGGAGTGTCGTAAATGATTAGTGTTGCCGATGAACGAATCCCATAAAAAAAAGGCGAAGATCTATAGCCCACCTATCTTTCCATTGCCGATTCTGGCAAGCGCGCGCTCTCTCTTCCTCCCTCTTCATAGAGCTTCCTGCGTAAGTAGAGTCATTTTGTTAGCGTCAAATTCTGAAAGCGGATCGTCCGATTTCTTTACTGGAGGCACCAAGCGCGGAATACTAGTCGGAATATTTCAATTACCTCGAATTTTCTCTCTCTTTTCAACCAGATATTTAATTTCCTCTTATTGTTAATTTCTTTTTAAAATATTCTTCCTTCTTTTTTCTATGTTCAATTTTATTTTTTCATATTTGACGTGTATCGGATTAACAGTTATGTAAAATGTCAAAAATGAACAAATTTATAATTTTTTTCCTTTTCATTTTCTTAAACATTATAAATATAAATATATAGTTTACATGAAATGATCGAAATAAAACGGATAAATATACCACCGCTGGAGAAGCGTGTTTTTTTTTTTTTAAATAACGGTGATACACGATTTCAATATAGATACAAAGTGAAACGTTCTCGATTCAAAGGTGGTTACCGACTCGTTTCTGTTGTCGTCGACGTCGTTAAAGGGGCGGCTTCGCGCCGTTCTCGCAATAGCGTAGATGCAAGTACGGTCGATGGTATTCCTATCTGGAAACGACTAGAGGCAGCGTCGTCGGGCAACGCCTCAGGCACGACGAAGATATCGTGTTTAGAGCAAGATCCACGGCCGCGATAAGCCAAGCTACAATGCTTTGAATACCCATCCAGCATCGCGATAACATCTTAACGTTCTCTAAGAGTAAACGAAATTAAATTCGCTCGACGCTGGGCGAAACGCGCGTGACATTAGCCCGAACTCTCGCGCTAAGATACTCGGGGTCCACGGCTGGATGCGAAAATGCGTGTAACGCGAGATCGATACGTTTCTTTCCCTTTCTCTTTCTATATCAGCGAATTCCCATTCCCTATATGCCGTCTCGCTTCTCATCCCTCGCTTCACTCAGCCGGCATTCCCTCTCGCGCCCCCGTGGCGGATGCATTTCGTTTTTACCTTTCACTTTTCAGCTTTATGGATTTCCCGATAAGCGAGTTGGAGACTTTCGACCAAATCATCGCGGATATAGTAACAGAAATATTGTCTTGGTTCAAGTTTTCATAAACTATATATGTGGCCAAGAAATAAATCTTTTAAAGTTTCAAAAAATTATTTGATATCTTGTCTTCTCTTACGTTTCAACTACGCCAACCATGCATGTGATATGAATATTAAACTAGATAGAAATTAATTAAAAATATTCTCTATATCAAGGAGTATCAATCATGATCTTTCCGCAAAATTTTTAGCATATATGCGTGAGAGACAAAAGCAGAAGTGCAAAAAAGGTATGCGTTACTTCGAGGTATGCGTTTGATTTTTCCATAAAGTCCCGGTTCCCATGGACGCACTCTTCAGGGAAAATGACAATGGCGTCCCACGGGAGAAAAAGCCTACCAGCCACGCAGAAAACTACCCCTCCCTCTTACCAGCATCGTCGTCGGCGTCGTCTCGGCCCTCCTGATTGTTTCCTACGCGTTCCCTTCGCTTTCTCGATCCTTCTCGGTCTGACGTTCAGCTACCTGATCTTCAAACTCGTCTCTCAGTCAACCCCTTCCATTCTTATAGGCGCAAACGGGGATCCGCGTCTCAAAAAATTTCCCGAAATTCAATATCCCCGACGTTTTACATAATTCATGAAAATTGAGCCAGCGGCTTTTTGGCAGAACCCCACACGCACACATCCTTGCGTCACGAAATTCTGTCTCACGTGATTTTTGCGCGTATAATAAAAATATTTTCTAATATATAACATATTCCAATTTCTAATATATGTACTTATTAGTTGTACCATTTTCTTTGCAAATAATTAATAATAAAAAATATATTATGCATGTATAAATCACAATAATTAATATATTTTAACTTGATATAATATTGAAATATTCGTGACAATATTTCTCACAAATTACTAATTTTTTTTTATAAAAAAATAATTCTAAAATAGAAAATAAAAACAGATATAAACTTATAATTGTAGCGGCAAATATTCATCGTATCTACTCATTGTAGAAATGTAGTCAGGAAAATGTTTTTTGACGTAGTAGTGGAACAATAAAGTAGCCGCGTGTATTTCGTGCAGTATACAATGCCGCACGCAGGCCTAAAGGTCGAGAAGCACGTAGTCGGAGGTTTAATCTAGAGAAATACTGAATAATAGAAGAGAGTGGAACGGGGCTCGCGATTGGCTTATACAATATTCAGCCTTGCTTTCCGTCCAAGTTCGCGTTCTAATTAAGTTCCCGGCGTTGAAGAGCGTTAAGCATCTTGTCAACCGTTTAACTCTGGTCCCCTCTGTGCTTGCAGATTCTTCCTCAAGTTCTTTCTCAAGTGTAACCAAAACTGCCTCAAGAACGCTGGCAATCCACGCGACATGAGGCGCTTTCAGGTAAGAGAGTTATTTATGTTCACTTTCAATTTACTTTAAATATAAACTTGCATTTTTTTTATATGATTAATAAATTGAATTTTATTTCTTAAATCTTTATTTTCTAGAACTAATAATAATGAATATATATTATTTAAGAACTAATAGATTTGTTCGTTTGTTAAAATAATTGCAAAAAATCTTTCATTATATTAAGCAAAGAAATATACAATCTGAATGCAGGTAAAATAATTTTTTCCAATGATTCACCAAACGCGATTTAAAGCTTTAATCGTTTCCGACTTTCCACCCACTTGATTCAAAGACATTCCAGATCGTGCCGCGATGCTGAAATGTACATTACGCGAGACACTTGCGTCATTCAAGTCACGATCCGCGAAATTATAGGGGCGGACAGACAGAGACGAGAATTCCGCCGAAATTCCGCCGCAACATCGCGTGACGTGTATCGTCGCAAAAAGCATTGTTTTTCGCACAATTTCCGCGTATTATTGCAAAATATTACTATTATGATCTGATACTTAATTAAATATGAGTAAATTCATTTAAATAAAAACGACGATATTGATTAAACAATTATTTTGTCGACAAGCCAACCGTGACAAAAGTTAAGATTTCTATCAAGCAAACATAAATCGAAGGATTGTCAAACTCTCGGCGCAGCATCATCCCCGATTCACCCCCGCATTCATTCATCCTTTATACTTTACAACGACTACTCCCACTTAGCGACAGACGTATCTCGCTATCCTACCTGCCCTCAATTCTCACCAAAACAAAAGACAAAATTAAAAAGTAAATTACCAAATACCATAGTCATCCCGACAGCCCCTTCCTTCCCCGTGACTCATCTCTCTTTACATTGTTCGACCCTTTTAGTTCTTTCTTTTCGTGCGTCGGCGCGACAACGAACTGAAATTAGAATACTCATCGCACTTTCGGATTTGCTTCAGAATTGCTTATTGCCCAAAGTTGCAAATTAAAATTTTAGTGCAGCCCTTACGAAAATTTCTCCCACCGCGGGGGCAACAGAGTTATCGTCGCTTCACTCTAAGTTGGTGGCGGCGGTGTTACTCGCCGAGTAATATCACTAGCATGCGAGAAAGTTGCAAAGGACAAAACTTTTGGGCGTTTTCCAGCCGTTCGCTCGATTTTATAAACGTTCTTCCTGCTTCATCGCGAAAATCTTTTCAACACCGCAAAGCATGCGGAGAACGGCACAAATGCTAAGCGAATAATTTTCTTCAAGTTGTTAAAAATCTCATAAGTAACACTTTATGTTGCATTCCTTGTTATATCATTATCTTTATAATTATATCATTATTTATAAAGAAATTTTGTGTATGCACATATGTTTTAATATGATTATATCCTATTATATCCTATATCCGCGCGATTATATCTGTGTCATACGTCGTCCGTGCAAGTCACGAATTGCATGCCGTGATACTCGGTGCGGCAAATCGAGTTATCTATGCTCGTTCATAAGAGATATGATGAACTTGGCTGAGTATATGATGCGCATGAGAGAAATGCAATATGATTCACGGTAACGTCTATCGCTCTAACGTATATCTTCTTACACTCCATTAAGTTAGACATAAACGATATATTACATAAATTTTATGAGAGTATACAATATTTTAATTTTTTAATCTCTCTTCAAAATATTATAATTATGTTCCTATAAAAAATGTTATATAATTATGTTCCTTAAGAAGTGTCTTTAAACGTACATTCTCTGAGATCTCGCATGTTCAGTTAATAATTTTCATAAAGATATTTACACAAATATATACGATTTTAAATTTTGATTGTATTTAAATAGAATAATTCTATTATAATATTATATATTTTTACATTAATCTTTTTATCTTATATCAGCAAATTTAAATTTCTATTTCGTTTAACAGGTGGTTATTTCTACACAAGTGGGAGTAGAGGGTCCATTACTAGCGGTCTCGGACAACATGTTCGTTCACAATAACAGCAAGCATGGACGCAGGGCGAAACGTTTGGATCCCAGTGATCCTGGCGAATATAATAGTAAGTATAATCGATAAATACTATCAATTAATTAATATCGTTAAAGAGAGAGATAATATATGCGGAACAGGACATCGATATCGTCTGCATATTTAATCGCGTACCTGCACGTGCGTTTACACGATAATTCGATTTGCCCGTAAACACAATTAGCCCATCGCGCAGTTTTTCGTTATTTAATTTTGCAGTCAGCTACTGCATTCCCCGACGATAAATGCAACCGGCCTTCGCCGTGCTAACAAAGCACTCGCAGAAAGTATAATAATTAATTAATAGGCGATAATTAAAAAGCCCAATGTGCATTAAACGCCCTCATTTATTCAACGCATCGACTTTTCACGGATAATATGATTCACGCGCACGAGAGCTTTCAGCCGTTTGCCAATCAAAATCTACTCTCCGAGCGATCCGCGTTCGAGGCATCGCAATTCGAATGCTCGCAGCGTGTTGTTTCCCTCATGCAGCGCGCCTTCCGTCATGGGGTGGGGTCAGTTTTCTTCGAGATCGGTATAACGACTCGAGGAGCTGCGGCGGAACGGAATCGTAAGAGGGTGCAGGAGGGCGCGCCGGTAGAATGGGATATATGGAGTCATAGGGCAATTCAGCAAAGTTTGGCGTCGGCCGCGCATACAAACGGCTGATATCGCGCGGCCACCCCCTCGACTGCTCGCTCCTCTCGCGCAAGGCTTCTTCCTCCGTCTTTTCTTCCTATGCCAAGACAAGATGTAAATCAATGGGATGCGAGAAAACGAAGGATCCGGCGCTCCGTTCCGCGCTCCTTGTTCCTCGGCTTTATTCTTCCCTTCCACTCCGCTCGCTCGAATTTCGCCCGAGTGCCTGGTTCTCTCTCCCCTTCTTCTCGCCGCGGGTTCTCTTCTCCATCCGCCGCCGCCGCCGCCGCCGCCGCCGCGCCAGTTCAGCCTTTTTGCCTGGTTGGCTGCCGCGGAGCGGCAAAGACACGAGAAGAAAGAGAGTGGAATTGGACCGCTTCTCTCATCTCGGTCTCTCCACCTCTCTCGTATAGTTTCTTCCTCCTTCTCCTCGTCGTTCTCGCGCTCTTCTTCTCGCCGTGGTTGCCGCGGCGCGTTGGTTTGTGAATGCTAAGTTTAAGCTATCTCATGCCATCCAGCCTGCGACGCCAATGAAGGTACCAACACATCCACTCTTNCCCCCATCCCCTCTTCCGCGAGATGTCCCACCCCAAACGCCGAAACGAGCATACCAATGAGGTAGCAGGCGCGAAGAGAAAGGGGAAGAACGCCGGTATCTCGTGGATTTTGCTGTCACTGTGAACGAATTCTCCCGGTTGCTGTACAAATCAAATCTTGATTGTCCATGAAATCTGAAACGCTTGTTTACGACCTATCTTCTTCGATGCACCGTTTTATAACACGTTTTTTTATTTGACAAAGTACGGTTGCAACTTCTTACTTTATGCTTCAGAATTTGCTTCTCTTTCAGATTCGATTTACGGCGCAAGAGAAGATTATAAAGATAAACTTCAAGATTTTTTCGTAAAACAGAGAGAATATTTAATATTCTTATTTATAATATATATTAACATAGAATAAGTTAAACTTGAATCGCTAGATTTCATGAAACGATATGAAAGAGGGTTAGCGGTTCTAATCCAATAATAAGAAACATCATTGCGCGAATATCATTGTAATGACGCTTGCTTGCGTCAAGATAAAATCCAGTTTTTCTGGTAAATTTCTCGAGTCTTTACCACAGCAAACGAAGTTATCTCGCGATCTCGCAGTGATCAAAGAGAATCGGGTCGAACGTGTCGGAGTACAACGGCTCTTCGACTTCGACGATAGTTCGGTGGCAAAAGAGGGGCACGGGAGGGTTGGGAGTAACACCCCTTATATTCAATGGCGCGGGGGATTTTATTTATTCCGGGTTGGTACGCTTGTTCCTTGGTCTCCTCTACTGAATCCCTCTTTTCAACCCTCCGCCTCTTCTTTCCCTCTCTACCACCGCGGCGACCCATGCCACGACTGCTCGACAATTCTCTACCAGGGTGGTTGCCAACACGGCCGACTCTCTTTAACGACTTTCTCGTACATTGAACGCAATAAATACCAATGTCCCATTGAAGAAAATTCCCATTTGCATAGAAACCACACTCTTGCGACTCTTTTGCGCTTCCGCTACGCGATCGTCACTTGTTGATTTAATTTTTCTGTTTTTTAAAAAGAAAGTTGTATGTACATTACACATAGCATAATTTTTCCTGATGGACAAAGATATATTATACACACGTGATATAATTCTATTATAAATTATTTATCTTTTACACACCTTATACTCGAAGTAATTTATTAATCTTGTATATTATTAACGAGACAATTATTTTATTATTATCTTGAATGAAAATATTTAAAATAAAAAATAACCGTTGATCACGTTAATTTTAAAGAAATATTATTTCGTGTCGACAATATCTAGAGAATATTCTTTAAACACATCCAGCTACAGACAACGTCGGAATCTTTTAAGCCGCCGAGATTTATCGGCGTGACGGCACGTAAGCACTCGAAGTGGAAAGTGTTTGAGCATCACTGGGAGCAATATACCATGATGTCAGCCACTCTGCCGTGGCTCCGCTTCGCCCAGGGTCGGTGCCGGGGGTGGCTTGGCTTCGCCGGGGTACAAAATGATATCATTGGGTTATAAATTCCAAGCAGAGACACCGGCGGCCCGATCGCCCCCTCCCCTTCCTTCTTGTTACAACCCTTCTCCGAGCACTCCAACCCTCAGTCTCTTCCTCGTACTCTCTCTTTCTCTCTTCGTCTCATCCTCTTTCTATCGCTCTCCTTCATAGTTTCTCTTTCATTTTCCACCTCTTTCTCACCTTCACAAGCCCCAGGACCTCGAAAACTTGCCTGCCACGCCGGAAAATATATCTGCCACTCGGCCTCAACCGAATAAACAGAATATTCAGATAATTTTCCATATCCTCTTGTCAATCGCGAACTATTTTCAAGAGGAAAACCATGATATCACTTTTCATCTAATTCATAGCACATAAACTTTTTTATCGTTTTTACTTTTTATTTATCGTTAGAAAACGGATGCTTTAAAATTCTGTAACGCTTTCAATGTGATCATTTTTTATATCGATAACAGATTTAAACGTGCCGTACATTTAACGCAAATATAAATGTAATTATACGCTAAGTTAATATTATTTTTGTATTATAAAATTAGGTTTATATCCGCCAATACCTCTTCAAACGCCGTGCATAAAAGCGATATCGCCTAATGAAGGTTGGACGTCGGGTGGATCTACTGTCATAATCATCGGTGAAAATTTCTTCGATGGATTACAAGTAGTTTTCGGATCGATGCTAGTGTGGAGCGAGGTCAGTGTAATTTGCAATATTAAAAATCTCTAATCCGTAATTAATTAATTTCGCGACAAACAAATATAAAAGTATTCGTGCTTTTATTACAGTTTATCACTGCACATGCAATCAAGGTACAGGCACCGGCACGGCAGATACCCGGCGTCGTTGACGTCACGTTACATTATAAAAGCAAACAATTTTGTAAAGGAGCGCCTGGTAGATTCGTTTATGTCTGTAAGTATAAAGAGCATCCGCGATACTCCTCACAGAAGAATCTATACGCGAATAATTACTATCGCGAAAAAATTAGCGACTGCATCCGATTACGCCGTAAGAGTTAACGCATTTTTGCTGATTTTTTTTTCAGCGGTAAACGAACCAACAATCGACTACGGCTTCCAAAGGTTACAGAAACTCGTTCCGCGGCATCCGGGTGACCCCGAGAAACTTCCCAAGGAAATAGTACTAAAACGGGCGGCGGATCTAGCAGAAGCCATTTATAGTATGCCTAAGGGCGGAAACATGGGGATCACGGGGGCACCCAGAAGTCCCGGTTCGGTACATGCTCCCGCACCTCCTACATCAAGTTCGGCAACGGTCTTTAACTCGTATACAGGGCAGCTCGCGGTGACGGTGCAGGAGAACGGTAGCGCGGCGAAATGGACAGACGGTATGTATCTTTCCTTGGAAATGTTCTCCACAAACACTCGTACCATCCCTTCGCACATATAGATAAATACTTATTATAAATTTTAATGATGCTTTAAAATTTTTTTGATAAAGACTTGCATCACATCAATCAAGACGAAGCAATTAAATTTGCTAGGCAACCAGTCACGACTTAAGCGATCAAATACTGACGAGTTCGTCTGACGGGCAGGTTTCTATTTCTAGACGGTAGTTCCGTGACGACAGGAGCTGCTGCCGATGGAGGAGGTGGTGGTGGCGGCGGCGGCGGCGGCGGCGGCAGCGGTGGTGCCAATGTCGGTAGTAGCACCGACGCCTATAGACAAAGCAGCAGTGCCAGTCCACGTGGCGTCGTAACTGGCGGCGGTTATTGCGGTAGTTCGGCCAGCACACCACATAGTCACAGTACCAATGGAAGTTACTCTGTCGCCAATCCGTACACCGGCAGCCCGACTCTTTACACGTCGCGTAAGTCTCTTACTCTTTCTCTTTTCATGCAGACAATCTTGTCTTTATGCAAAATTACGGTGATATCTACGAAACTTGAGTTGTGCCGGGATAAAATCCCGTTTTTATAAAGTCACTTTTCCTCTAAATACAATTCACGTAAGATCGATTAAGATGACGACAGTGCGCAGATAACTTTGCATTACAATGAAAAAACTGCTGCAAATGTTTAATAATGCAGATTTTTGCCAAAGTTACATAAAATCAATATTCTTGTATAATATATATGCTAAATAATTTTTTTTTAAATTTTGTCCACAATTACTTTCAATCTTACATTTTTTCTTTATGGACAAATAGCAACCGTATTATATAATTATCAGAGAATAATAATTAATAACATTAGTCTAAACACGCAGATTAATTTATATTAAATATAAAAAAAATCATTTGTCAGCATCGATATCTTCGGCACAACTCAAAGAAAACCTAACGCCACGTCTCCACGTATCCAGCACGCATGCTCTTCTTCTACTTTAGCGTTACTTTTCAATGCATGCACTTTTGATTTTTCCTTATGTGGAAATTTCGTTTTAGCGCACGAACAATACGGCATATTCTATACATCCGGGGACGGGAGTGCGTTCGCCCCCGTAGTACGACCACCGACCACCTCAGTCCCACCGCACTGGTCCACACAGCACCACCTCGCCACAGTCGCCCAGTAACCGCTAACCGTCCACCATCACCACCAACACCATCATCACAACCATCACCTTATGCACTGCGATTAAAGAATTATGAGAGACGACATTTGAGAATGTATGTAAGCTCATTTACGACGCGATAATGTTATATTAATTTAATTGCAGGAAACGTTGACGATTATTTCGTTAGGATGAAGTGTCAGCTCTCTTTCTCATTACCCTTTCATGCTATTGTGCTATGAAGCTTTTTATAATTAATAAAAAATATTTTTTTATTAATTTTTATTTTTATATATTTTTTTGACAAAATTAAATTAAATAAACAAATACATCTCATAACAAAAAAAAAATTAATTTTGTTGGAATAAAATTGTAATGATATAGATATGCACAAAACATCTACGAAATGGTATAATCGTTACGATGTTCAATTTTCCGATTTATATCTGTGGAGCAATGCATCCGTATATTTTTAATATACTCTATCTGCTATCCGATCGTATTTAAACATAACGTTATATGAAACTCCATGAATTATCGTCGTTATTTATAAAATATATATATTTAGCTTGAGAATTAAAAGCTTCAAGTAAATATGAAATAAATATGCACAAAAAAGTAATTCCGGAAAAGAAGAGAACGAGCCCTTTTCGATTATCTCCCCAATTTTTTTACAGAATAAGCAATTATTTCTCGCATGGATATTTTACCATCGATTCATGGACATTCTCCTCATGATTTTATTCGAACAATTTTATCATTGTAAATACAAAATTATTATGTGCTTTTCGCTGCTTATTTTTTACTTATTGATTGTGCTATAGCATTTAAGCAATAATGCACTACTAATGTATAACTGACAGTGGGTATGTTGCAGGATTAGGAGAAGTGGTTGGATCACCTTTCAACATGAACCCGTTTATGTTGCCCACATGCAACCAGGGATATTCAGCCGCTGCCAGTCCGTTGCTTTCGTCAAACGGCAAATAGTGTTACGAGATGTAAGCTCCGACGAAAATGTCATGAACGGCAATCATCGCGGAGACATTGTACGCGAGCTAATTAATTAATACGTGCGACCGCATCTAGATAATTATTCAGATAACTTTATAAACTATCTGCGTAATTTTCGCATCGACGCTCGTATATTGTCTTCGCGAATTCGAATTATATACTTGTGTATGCAACTTTTATTCTCTTTTTTTATTTCTTTTGTGATAAAAAGAGAAAAAAAGCCGCATACTCGTTTCCCATCATCATTTTCGTCGGAGTTGAAGTCAACAAGTTTGTAAGAAATCGTGCAAATCAGTGCAAAAATTTGTAACAACTATCTTGCATCGATCATTAATGATCACACTAATTAAGAAACGATACATATCGAACAACGAGAAGGTGTCTTTTTATAAAAACCTGGTAAGCTCGGTCATGCGATAGCTCTCGAATAATTATTCTTAAGAAAAATATCTTCTTTTGTTTTTCATAACAGTGTTCTAACAAATTATAGTTAATGTTAAATATTTATACATAAAATGAAATTGATCGATATTCGAAAATATACTTAAAATGCAATTTGTATATTTGCGCTCCTGTTTTCCTTTAATCTTATATATAGTTATTTGATTCTATTGTTCTTGCAGCAATTCATTAATTATAATCTTAATATAAAATTAGTTTGGAAAATATTAATGACGAAAGATATTTTTTATTAATTATATCATTATTATTACTATATAATAATAATACGCCTGCTATATTTAATATTGCTAATAAGCAATGTCTTTAATATATAATTGTCTCTATTATAAAATATTTTAATTTTGTACTTTAAGCAAAATAGAATAAATGGATTTGAGAGCTATTCGCATAAATCGAGTGGAAAAGCTGAAATGGTATCAAATGTTTTATATCATTCAAACTATATACAAATTCTGATGTGAAGATGGAAAGAAACTGACACCGCTCGACGGACATATCGCTTATCAATGAATAACAGATACCATAGTTTTAGAGAGCATTTTCGACTTCAAAATTTTAACTTCGTACCCCTACGATTAATAATTAATCAATATCACCTAGTTAACGTAACGTGTAACTTATAATTTGTAAAATATCTGTAAATATTGTTGCAACGTGTACAAAAAGAAAACTATTTCCAGGAATTCAACGAAATGACATTAACGTCATTCTCTAGAGTGAAAATTATTATACATAGATGTAAATAAACGTAGAGCGTATGTAGCGCATCCGTATTATTGTATCAGCGTCATCCAATTTTTTAACGTAACTCCGATCGCACGAGTTTACGTGTCCGTATACATTTCGCAGACGAACCAATTAAATTTGTTGTAATCCGCTCCATATTTTTCGCTTTAAAGCAAAAGCTAGACAAATGGCCGGTATTTGGGAACGAAATTATGCTGACGAAAACGTTAAAAAGTTGGATCGATCGCGACCTGTATAAAACGTATATACATAGTTGATTTTGATCGTTTGATAAGAGACTTGATAAGAGCCGGTCCGAAACTTACAATTAAACAAAATCTCTACAACTCACGAAAGTATACGAAACATATACCAGATTGAAATCCCCCAGTTAATCCCCAAAAGTTTTACAGCAGTTTACGAGCGTAGTTCATATCGTTTGCGAAAATGTTAAAAATTATTATTATAAAGAGTTCCTTTTTGCATATCGACTTGGTATGTACTTTTCTTCTAAGAAGAGTGCATTCTTCGTCCCGGAGCCCGAACGCTCTGTGATCTTGTGATGTTGATTATATACATGTATATTGATTGTAACCTTAGTTCAATCGTCACGTCACGTCATCTTTTACGAGACGCGTTGTTCTTGTACGCACGCAAAAACACGACACGCACGCTCGCGCGTATGGAGACACTCGTCTCTCTCGGTGTATATTGAAATAAATTAAACTTACTTTTTGAGAACTAAATGATCTTGATAATAGAAAAGGTTTTTTATTATATGTGCCATCCTTTATTCACATTATCCTTGACTTTAATAGCAGTCATATATAATTGTGATGTGGCAAGTATTAAATCATAATTGTTTTCAAATTATAATCACCAATATTGTTTTAAACTAGAAAAAACTTGTGTGTAATTATAATTTCTATTACACAAAAATTATGATACTATATACATATTTTTAAACATTATATAAAAAATTTAATATTAAAATATATATATATATATATGCTTATTTAAATTATTTATTCATACTTAAATAAAAAAAAATAGCAGACAATAACGTTAGAAATTTATTTACATTACTATAACTGAAATTTATTTTTACATTATTAAACTTGCGTTATCATAATTTTCTCATATGTAAAAAAATAATAATTTTAATACATATATGTTCAAATACAATATATCAGAGGAGAATTATTCAGTATCATAAGATACGAATCTACGACAGAAACAGAAAATGTTTTGCGTAATATGTTAATCGTCAAACTCAGTTGGAAACCTATTTACCCTAGAAGAAAGCAAGCCGGAATCAACAAATAGCGAAACAAGATCTGGAGGACCACTCTGAAGCGATTAGTTCACATGGTGTCCCATTACCTCCTGCTGCCGAACGACGGCGTATATGATGTACGTTATTGTGGGGCTGTTTGTGTTATTAGATTTAGATTGGCCGGCACGTGGCAGGGGTGGCGCGTGCCACACTGCAAACGTTACAACGTGGGTACAATACAAAATCGTTTTTCTTCAAATACTGGTTTCTTTGGCTTCCCATAGAAGGGTATTGATTTTCACTTGCGCACGGTCAACACGCTATTACAATAACGCGCTAATTTTTCTGGTATATAATTTATTTTAAAAAACATACTTTTTTTGCATTAACTATATATATAATTAAAAGATTTTTACCTAAAAAAAAAATAAAATTTGATTACAATAAAATTTCTTTCTTTCTCTCTGTCTCTCTCTCTCTGTCTCTCTCTCTCTTTCTTAACTCTTATAAATATTGTATGTATTTTCAGAGAAATGCTTGAGAAATTAAACAAAATAAAAAAATTGATCTCTACACATTATATGAAATTCATTTATCTATGATATTTTATAATATTTCTTTCTATAATTTCCCAGTTTTTTGTATGATTATTGTTATATATATAACCGATTGTTAGTTAATTTAATAAAAGATATAGATTCATAAATTTTGCAATTTTACATTTTAATCCCTTTGTTGTTTCAGTCCCTAGCTTACACACACACATAAGTACTTTTAACCCACCGCGATCTGTCAGCTTAGTTTTTTGGCACGTGTTCTCTTATATAAAACCTTATGCAACCTACCGCAATCTAATTGGAATCTATGAAAAGAATACAAAATGTGCAGTTGTATGGCAAGTCTACAAAGAAACCTATATAATTTTTTAAAGATCTATATCTCTCTTTTTCTCTTTCTTTTTCTCTCTCTCTCTCTATCTATCTATCTCTCATAAATATGCAATATTATATTATATGCAAGTTAATTATTTATTTTATTTTGAATTTGAAAAGATTGATAAACTACATTATATTTATCTATATAAAAAATTATAATTTTTTTCTGCAAACTAATCTTTTACACTTATCGTCAGAATGTCTATGGTTTATCACAGCATCACCATGCATTGTCGTTATCATCATTATATTATCGAGACTGAGCTCAGGTTGCGTGTCAAAGGGGATGAACACTCGGGCAAGCTGGGATAAGAGCAATCCTGTGATCCACCCCTGACAGTTCATCGCGATAAGATCTACTCGTGCAACGAGTCGGCTCCATTCGTATTCTGTTTGCTTTCTATGATCCTACGACATCGCAAGTCCATTGTACTCCCGATATGACGTGAAAGAATATTACCATCTGCTTATATTACCGATAATCTTTATTCAATAGTATCGAATTTCTCTGATCTTGTCAGAATAGCGATCTCTCTCATCAACCAACGATACGAAATGCATTTTGTTCGCTTTTCCAAGCACAACTTAATAAATGATTTATGCATCCAATTTCGTAAAAAAATATAATCAGCAAACATATTCAAACAAGAACAAAAATTGACAATTTTTATTCTCTCGGTTACTGTCTCTTTTGCTTCTATTTTATCCAAAAAAATATTAATATAATAAATATATTATTATATATGTTTATAACTACATTCGTTCTAGAGGCCGCGCAATGTTATCGACATGAGTTCTGCTAATTTTTTACACGCTTAAATACTCCGTAATCCTAACGACATAATCGTGTAATAATAAGTTGGATGTATCACATAGGAGCACCGCCCTCTACGATGTGTTTATTGAATTAATTAATTGCACAGTAATAAAATCATGGTGCCTTTTTCGAACAACAAATATTTTTCTGCAATCCTTTATTGAATTTTGCTTTTTTTCATTTCGTCTATCTCTATTGTTATCCGCGGGCGATAACATTAGAGATAGACGAACACACCTGCTAAGTGCTTTTCACCGTGGAACGCGGTGCATTCGGAACAAGAATCTCGCAAATCGCGTCCGACGATGTCGTTTGCACAATCGGCATTGCGAGACTAATTATCGTCGTGGATAATAGGTGCCCGCGCGGTATCGATCAAAAATTTCTAGACGTGGGCGTGGTGTTTCGTTGTGGCTGCTGCTCAATTTTACCGACAAGCCTCGTTGGGATTTTAAATGTCGGGGTTGCCTCGCTTACTTCGTTGCATGTATAACAATCTTAAATCTGTTGATCACACCGAAACGCATTACAAATACGCGATTCTAAAAAATGCCGAGCTCATATTTGCGCAGCATGATTCAATACCGGTTCTATTACATTAACATCTAAACGGAGCGATTTCGCGTAGGGGCGACATTATAAAAGAGAGCAAAGATATTCCCTCTCTGCATTCCGCGGTATCGTCATCGATAGCGAATCCAGTATGTAAATATATCCCGCAGAAGAGATACATCGCGCATGTGCATTGATCTATGCATATAAACGTGCATACAAAACGTGAGCGGCAGCGTACAAGCCCCAGCTCTGAATGAACTTCTTGCGCCACGCAAATAAATGGATTCGCGTGCGTCTAACAACGATGTCGACTCATTTCGCTTGAAGGGACCGGAAATCTTCCGTCCCTCGTAACTGTACAAGTGTGGTCGCAATAATTCTGTATTTTAAGATACTAAAAAAATCAAAAACGGTATAAACGATTTTCTATTGAATCTCATTGGACGTTTCGCGATATCTTTAAAACGGCCAAATTTTATAAAGATTAAATAAGAATAATAAAAAGAAAAAATGCTATAATTCTGTACCTTTTGAAGTACTAATAAAATTAAAAGCGATACAAACGGGTATAAACGATTCTTCGTTTGTATCCCATTGGCCGTTTTACGATATTTTACAAAAATTGAAAATTATTCTTTATAAGGGTACTTAAAAATTAAAAATGTTGTAATTCTGTACTCTTTTAAGGTACAAACAAAATTAAAAGTGGTACAAACAGATACAAATGATTCTATGTTGAATCTCGCTGGCCGTTTAATGCTAGGTTTAATGCTTTAAAAAATTACTAAATTATTTTTTTATATTTAAAAAATTTTTTAAATGCTGTAGTTTTGTGGTACAAATGAAATAGAAAGTGGTACAAACTAGTATAAATAATTTTCTGTCTACAGTCAGGGGTTATTTTTCTCCCCGCGGCGGTGCCGTTATTAGGCAGTACGCAATGTACGCTCCAGCGTACGGCGCA